ACGGCGATCAATTCACTTGAAACTGAATATGATTCGGATGTTCAGCGTGGTACCTTGATTCACTTTCATCGTTGTATGTAACACCTATGTTTTGATATGATCATCAAGATGTCTAACGACCCAGCTTCAGGCATCCTGCTCATCGACACGACTCGTCAAAAGTGCCTCGCATTTCCCAAGGGAAAGAAACCTAATCAATCATAATCCAAGAAAGACATGGGTGCAAAATCACCCATCGATGTGATCGGTGGAGTCATTCGCTCGGACCTTAAGGGTCCAATTACCCCTACGGATCGCTTAAGTAATCGGTACAAGGTCAACTTCATTGACCACCGGTCCAGCTACTGTCGTTTTTTGGCCAAAACATAGGATGCAGCAGCTTTGAAGTTTAAGCTAATCATGGCAAGCTTCGAGCGAGGGTTCAACTGCAAGGTGCATGTAATGCGAACTGACGGGGGAAGCGAGTACAAGACACTCGACATATTTTACTCCACCACGGGTGTCTCGCGTCAAGTGAGTGAAGCACGGAACCAGGCAATCAATGGCAAGGCTGAAAGAATGCACCGCACGATCATTGATATTGCGAAGCATGGTATTTGCATCAAATTGCCGTTCTCTTTTGGGGTGACGCCGCAGAGTATGCTTCATACATACTCAACCGGAGCAAAATTAAGTCAAATCTTGGTGGAGTATCGCCCATGGAGTTTTTGACAAACAAGACTCCTGCACTAAACGACATCGCGATCTTCGGGTCTACCTGCACTTTGCATAGGGACCCGATGAGCGCATCACTTGGAGAGCAAGGCAAGGCAGGTACCATCATTGGATGGGGTGGTGAGACGAAGGGGTACAAGGTCTATATCCCGGAGGACAAGGTCGTCGTGGTGATTTAACATGTGCAAAGCATTGAAGCACCACGGGATGATCAAGACGGATTACACACGATGAGTCCTGAGACGGTAAATCCTCAGAAGGAGTCATACAGAGACTCTTCAGAGTACCATGATGGGACTCGAGGCGCTGAACGGCGTATCAGAAAGAATCGCAAGGATCGGAATGTTGGCTAAACTAGAGAACGTCATAATATGAGGTCAACAACGAAGAGGCAACCCGACAAGCTCAGCGGGGACGCTTCAACGGAAGAACGCGACGTTGTAAATGCAGTCACCGTTCAAGACTCAAGGCAATACGGGGAGGCGATGAAAAGCGAGCATCGAGACAAGTGGTGCGTTGCCATGACCGAGAAATGGAGGCCCTAAAGGCAAACGATGTTTGGGAGGTTGTCGTGTCACCCAGGAAGGCGCACATCTTATACAACAAATGGGTTTACAAGACGAAGACCGACGCAAAAGGAGACATTGAGCGATACAAAGCTCGGCTGGTAGTTTGTGGGAACGAGCAAGTGTTTAGAGCTGATTACAACGTGAAATTTGCGACTATGATAAACTTGGCGACCGTCAAATTAATTTTGAACCTTTCCAGACGATGGAACGTGCCTGCACGTCATGGTGACGTGCCGAACTCTTACGTGAAGGCCGAAAAGGAGGAGAACCTGGACATCTACATGAAAATACCAAAGGGCATGCAACTGAGCCATAAGGAACTGGCAAGTTTCGGGGTGAAGTCCACCGGCGAGATCGCGCTACTGTGAAGAAGTCGCTTTACGGGTTGAAGCAGGCTGGTCGACTTTGGAGTAAACTACTGCATTAAAGTTTGCACGAGAACGGCTTCAACATTGCATGACGGACATGTGCTTGTACTACAAATAAGAAGGTAACAATTGGACCATCGACGGAGTCTACGTAGACTATCAAATGGTTACTAGAATTAAGCAAAGCGCAGTCGACGATTTCTTCGTCGGGATGAAGACATTGTCCATCAAGGACTTGGGCACAGCGAAGAAGTTTCTGAGACTTCGAATTTCCCTGGATGACACCCACGGATACGTCCTGGATCAAGAGGTCATGATCTACACACTGCTCAGAGACTTCAAGTTGGAGTCTGCGAACGGCGTACGGACGCCAATTAGAGATGATTGCAACGCTGACGACGACAACGATTCAGGCTTTCTGCTCGCCAGCGGCGCAAGCGGTGAACCAAGTTTGAGACATTTTCAGTCGTTGGTCAGGAAAGTACTGGGGATCGCGAGATGCACACGCCCCGACATTTGTTTCGCAGTGCATAAGGCAACACGTCAAACCCACAGACCAACCGTCAAGTATTGGAAGGTAGCAAAGCGCATCGCACGCTACTTAAAGGGGTCGAAGTATTTGAATCTGCACCTCAAGGGCATCAGACCGACCCAGGAAGATGTCAAGATCAAGTGTTGGAGCGAAGCAGACTTCGCTGCCGATATCGTGGATCGTAAGTCAGTTTCTGGTTGTGTGCTAACCATGGACGGTGCTGTTCTGTTGATGTTATGACAGAAGCAGTCAGGTGTATCATTGAGTAAGACGTAGGCGGAGTTTTTATCTGCCTCTCAAGCCGGGCGAGAATTGTTGGGCGTCAGAGTTGCTCGTGGAGCTTAAGCTACGAGTATGCGAGCCCATGTCCATGTATATGGACAACCAAGCGGCAATCAAGCAGCTCGAGGCAGAAAAGAGCCATACAAGCGCCAAGCATGTAGACATTCGTTTCAAGGTCATCTGCCACTATGCGCGTGAGGGGATTGTGCTACGAAGCTTCGTAAAGTCGGAAGACATGATGGCGTATATTCTCACCAAGTCGTTAGCAGTCCCACGGATGAAGAACTGCACAAGATGCTCAACTTGAAGGCAACACAAGCTAAGGTCGAGGAGGAGTGTTGGAAAACATTGTTTATGACAGGACGTTGAAGTTTCGACCGTAACTACAACACCTGTTTCAGGTCATGGGCGACTTCATCTGATTGGCCTACGAGCGTGACGGATGTGACAAGCGTGACAAGTTGACATCTGGGACCGGAGAAGACGAGCGTCATGTCGGATCATTAGGCGAACGATGGTGAATGGAGAAACGATATACGGACGTCATATGGGACCAGGACCAGCACATGGTGATGGGCACGCTGGATGTGTGCCAGGTGCAACTTGACCAGGTCAAGTTGCACTGCTGGTCAACTGCATATGGTAAGACACATTGGCAATGGTAGTTAACACCAAATATATATTACTTTTACTTCCTACATCCTTTGCACAAGTGCATACACCAACGTCTAACAGCATTGCCCGCTCGCCACCACAGGAGATGGTCGTCGATTACACCAGCACAAAAAGCGGCTTCTATAAAAGAAGGAACGGAGGCGAATGTTACCTACCCTAGTGCTAGCTAGCAATGATATGATCAGCGCGGAAAGAATTACAGAGAATGTATCTATAGATGTGTAAATGTTTGAGATTGTCGTTGTAGATGTATCAATGTTGTCTTGAGTCTATTCTTGAAGAGGAAAAGCAGAAGAGTGAGGTATTATGCCATTACAAGTTGTCGAGACTGCGTTTCGTGTGTCGGCTTCAGTAGTCGAAGTGCACCCACAAGGTGCTACGACGTTCAAGGAGGAACTCGTGGAGTTGTTGTTTTGTCAGTGGCCTACTAGATTCGTTTTACAAACAAATGGAACTCGACTCGAACCACGTGTGCCGCTTTTATGCTGATCGGCTACTTTAAGCAGACCGCGTGATACTGAATTGGCCTAATCACACTGCTAGAAAGGTGAGAAAACTTGCGATGTGAAAACAAAGCTGCTGTGAGGTCGCACGATTACCACGTTTTACGTGCCGCATACATCGCATTCAAAGGCGCTGCAAATGCATCGTCAGAGTATACGATACATGTTGCTGAACATGGCGCCAAATGCATTACATTAATGAAGAATTTGGCGAGCATCAGGCTTTCATAGACATCAGACACCAGCCCAGATCCTAGCACAAGTGTTTGTGCATCTCCAACATTTTCCAGCGTTCGACTTAACGTCGCCATCTTTTCCACTATCGTGTGATCCATCGTCTCTTCCTACTCGTTGGAGAACTGCCGTATGAGTGCAGCGAACACGGATCAGTTTGTGCCGCACGAAACGAACAACCAAATCATCAGCATGCGATTGGGCGTGTTCTGATGATATTGGTACTGACTGGCCCAGAGATGGTGCACGCCGGAGACGTCGATGGTTGAACATACAGGGAAAAGGTACAGATACTATCGAGGCCGACACAATATCGTGGATGCAATACAACGACGGCCGATTCACCAGCCGGACAACTTGCCCTCGGCTGAAGCACATGAAGTATCAGTTACGGACCATGGACCAGTCGAAGGAGAAAAGCAGCATCAGCGTGTCGTTAAACTTGCTGGCACATGACGGGTGTGCTCATGGCTATCTATGGTGAAGTTCGATGATCGTAAATGTCCTCAGCTGGCCGTCGATTTGCATTCTTGATAACCATGTGAAACCAAGCCCAATCAGCTCTAGCTTCAAATCCAAAACAACCGCTAGACATCACATACAACGCATGCCGCACTAGAACGGTACAACTTCCGCTTGATTCGCACCTCAGTTGCATTTTTGCCGACGCTTGCTGCGACAGCGCTGACTCATTGTGTAGTCACGCGAAAAACAGTCGAGAGACGTTGCGCTCAACTGCTGCTTTACTGCGTCCAGGTTCGTTGCTGCGCTCACACCGTGGGTAGTCCCCATAATTTACAACGGTGAAACGATTCTGGCAATGCGGCTTGCGGATGAGCATCACATCATGACCCGGCCATTTCTAAATGGCTTTTGCTTCAACCGGCTCATCCGACTTGATCTGGTGAATCGATCCATTCAAATGCACCATACGGTTGTGCCCTTCAATGTCTAGCCTTGCAAAATCGTGGGCATCAACGCAGTGTTGTACTCTTGTACTCGGCTACCTCCGTTTTGGAAGACTAAATTGGACGATTACTGTATATGCCGCATTACCTTCCACTTTCCAGTAAGTCACCGATTGCTACCACAGGCACAGCTCGAACAGAATACAGCTCGACGTTTATCCGTCTTCGCCAGAGTTGTAACAAACCTTGCACACACGCACAACGTCGTAGTATCCAAAATCTGGGAGACTCATACGATGGCTTGTACACCGGCCGCAGAAGACGTACCCACAGCAGCGACAATGGTGTCGGTTACGAAAAATGGCCTTGAACTTCTTCTTGCAGCGCTTGCAACATGTTGCATCCTCGTCGCGCTCCCACACAGGCTGAGAATTCAAAAAGTTTCCGCCAGAGATCACTTTATCAGTTCCCAGTAACGGCGAGCTTCCAGGTGTAAAATTGCGGTGATCCATATCGATCGAGCCCGAGTCGCCCAAGTCACCGGTGGCTCCTGCGGAGAAGGATGTTGAAACTGAGCCTGGTGAAGAAGAGGACGATGGTGGCGACGAAGTCCTTGGAGAATGATACGACTTGCTTGCTCCGTTCGGAAGGCCAAGCCGAACCTTCGTACCACTGCTGGGAGAAAATGTATCCTTCTCGGTGCGCAACGCTGTCTCTGGAAGGTTGTAATTGTAGCAGCGAAACCGCCGCAATGTCTGTTTGGCTGCGTTTTCTTTGATCGCCACCTGGTGATCAAGCTTTGCCAGCTGGGATTCGAGGTGGCGAAGGTCACGTTTGAGTTCCTCCCGGCGTGACGGCGAGTTCGAATGCTGATCACGGCGACCTTCGCTTACACGGACTGGGTTAGGCAGTGTTGCAGAACCAACGTCCTCGGTTTCGTCCATGTCTTTGTCATGAGTACCACCCTTCATCTGTGCGACTACATTGAAGATGGTACTCTTCAGGCTGTTACTTCGTGAGCGACTTGTCAAGGACTTGCGCCGTCGAGTGGTAGGCAGATTTGTCGACTGCAATGGCGGGCCCGTTCCTTTAGACGAAAGAGTACCAGAAGAGGCATCAAGGCTTCCACAGTGTAACATCTGCATCATAGTCATGTGCTCTCCAGAAGGTGACGAAGACGACGTCGTCGCTCGCGCTGAAGCCCCCGCCGTACCCATAGCCACAATACTAGCTAGATCGTGGAAATCAAGCGAGCCTGCCGAGATAGGAAGCTCGCCGAAGCTACGATGTGCGCCTGTATTGAAACTAGACAGGAGTCCCTTCCTCTCCGGCTGTGTCAACGGCGCCACTGGGGTATCAGGATACTTCAAATTCATGCTTCTTGACAATTTCGCAATGTCGGATCGAATCTGTCCTGCGCGAAGCTCAATGTGCTGGTCGCTAGTCAGCGCAGCATATAGCCGCGACAGATCTGCTTCTTGCTGCCGGATTAGCTGCAGCATTTCGAATTCTCGCTGCTGCAAGCGCATATGACCAATCGCCTTCTGATATTGGCTGACCCAAAGTTGCATGACGCGCACACGACACACGGGCAACATTGGCTCCATATGTGACCCACTCCCCTTCGACGCGTGTACCCCCCTACCTGCAAACAAGGGGTTCAAAAATTGATCCGTGGTGGCGCGAATTACGTCCCACACGCTGACACTCGCCACACTCGATAAGAAAAGGCGCCGCTCGCATTCAGAATTTTTTTGGAAGGTGCCATACCATGACGAGTAGACAGCTTCAGCAACGGACGAGAGAAGCAGCTCATTAAATTGGAAATGCGTCGGGAACTGCAGTGTGAGCTGGTATACAGCGTCGATAAACTGCAGGAAGATCGGCGACGTTTGATCGGAAGTAGGATGTGAGCAGCGACGCTGGAAGTTGTGGCCGAAAGAACACCAATCTTTTTCACAAAGTTGTGCGAAGCCTTCAAGTGTCCGGTAATATGGATCCAACATTATCTGTGCAAGGGAGGAGAGCTGAGCCGTACGATCCCATCCGTCGCTGCAGTGTACTAGAACAGCCTCCCCACGCTCGAGATGCGTCGCCACTTCAGTTGCGCCCTGCAGGATGCTGCAAATGTGCTCCAGCCAACGACTCTTTTGCACAGCACCAAAAAAGCTCGAGTCCTCCACCTCGTACAGAGCCTGCGCCAGACCAGCAAGCGAGTTGCGCACTACGTGAATGTTGTCGATTCCCATGAACGTAATTGCGGCCATGGGTATCCCATCCCGATCGTACTGCTTGACAGACTCATGACCCTTTCCAGCAAGCGCATTGCTCTTTGCATTGATTTCCGGTCGTGCGTCAACAATGTGAAGAACGCTGTTCTTCTTCTTGGGAAGCGTGTGTCTAGATTTCGCTGCTTGGTCCGCTGGAATGGACGCATCCCGTATGGCCCAAATCAGCTTCTTATCTTCTGGATTCGTGCTCCGGAGCACGCCTGTGTTCGGCTGGCTGCTGCGACACAATGGAGCGCCCGTGCGAGGATGAATCCAACTGAGAGCTGGAAAACGGCTTTTGCTTCGAAATCCAGCTGCTTCCTTTATAATCTCATCGTTCAAGCATTCCGGCACCATGAGGAATGATGGGTACGTGGAGCATAGCTGATAATTTTCGTTGAGAGTGCATTTGCGCCAACGAGGATGATTCAACGCGCCCTGTCGACTGAACTCGGTTTCTGGATCGTATCGAATGCGTCTCTTGGCTGCAAGCTGGAAATGCTGCGGAGGTTTCCTCATCGATGTTGTATGCGTTAGGTGGGGAGCGGCAGCCGACTCACTCTGGAGGTGTTTGAACTTCGGTCGCTCCAGCGAATTACCATTGCCACAGAGAGCCGGGCCGCTCATACACTCTTTGGCAAACGTGCGCTTCTGGTACTTGCTGAAGTTCGCCGTCAGTGCCCGTGCCATCGGTGGCGGCATTGATGAGCTACTGTGTTTGGGCGTGTAATGGAGCAAGTCATCCTCAAGTTGCATCTCGTCTGCCGTTGCTACAATGTGATTGCGGTCCGTCGGAGAGCAAAAGCTGTTCTCAATACGCAGCCAGTCAATTTCACGCACAATGTTGTGCAGCGTTTTGACACGCTTAAGCTCTGCCTCACGGGAGAAATCGCGCACCGAATTTCGTAGTCGAGAAATCGGCGAAAGGGTCACGTGGTAATGCCCAGCATCCATATTGTCCAGAATAAGTACCGTAATCACATTGTTGTTGCTACGCTTCTGCTGCTGGATCGACGCCTTTAAAATCTTGCTCACCGGTAGCGTGTGCACATCCTCATGAAGTAACCCTCTCACTCTGCGATACGGGACAAACCAGATGCGGTAGTTGGTCAGCACCAACGTTGCAAGAACGCCTTGATTCGATTCATTCACATGAAATGTCACCGTCACTTCCTCCACCATATGCAGTAGCTTTTCGTGCCACGGAAACAGACAGTCCTTGGGTGTGCCGGCATGCATCGCTGTCAGTTCATCTTGCCGCACGGCAACGTCCGGGTGCCAGCTCCGTGGTAAATGACAATAAGCGTGTTCAAACCGCGGGTTCTGCGGGAGAAACACCTCTTGGATACTCGTGCCGTACGGATGGTTCACAAGGTACTTGAGATCTCGCTCTTCGTATTGGATACTGCACAAAATGCGTCCCTGGGCCGTCAAGCCCTTGACCAATCGACACCAGATAAACACACGGTCAATGGCCATGCCGTCCTTCGTGCCTGTCGGCTCTCCCACTGCTGCTGCCGCCGACACGCGACTCTCGTCGCAAAAGTAGCTCCCGCTCGAATTCAACGACCGCGACCGTCCGTGCAGCTCCATGCCCTTTGACGTGTGGTCCATCTTGTCAACGTCACTGTCACTGGTCGTGTAGGGCATCGTGTGGCCCCCCAGCGCGACCGCAGCCGTCGTCCCTGTCGCAGCACCTGCAGCAGTTCGGTCCTTCTCCCGCGCACCCGACACAAGCGCTTCCGTGCGCGCGCGCGTGCGGTTCTGATACGTCGCCACGAGCGCGCGCCACTCGGGGAACGGCACGCGGAGCGCGCCCAAGAGGTCGCTCTGCGTGAACTCGTCCTTGTCCACGACTTCAATCTCCACGTCCAGCGGCCCCGCGTGGACCAGCGCGACGGCCACGTCAAAGTCCCAGCGCGGGTTCAGCGACCGCTTCACGCTCGGCGACGACGCGAGCTCTTTGCCGTCGTAGAACACGCGCACGAACGGGTCGCTCTTGCCGTTCACGTCCGAGGACGAGAGCGCTTCGGCGCGGATGACCGTGAGACGCATGGGAAGCGCCAGTCGCGTGCGGGTCCAGCGGTGGTCGTGGTCGTGGCTCGGGCGCTTGTGGTCGTGTGTGGGTAAGTGACTTACTTACCCTTTGGATTGCGTTTGGATAATGGCGACGACGACGACGACGACGACCTGAACCGACGCGAGGGGTTTAGTAGTCGTTTGTGTGTTGTTTGTTGAAATGTCGTTTTTTACGTTTGTTTGGTCGCTTTGTTCGTTGTTAGGTAGAGGTTTGCCGAGTAGCGGGTGGTGGAATATTCGTCGAAAGGGGATGGCTTCGGCGAGGGCACGCGCGAGGGGGGGAGACGGACGCACCGATATTACTACCGGGAAGGGGGTACGCTGGCCAGCTGGATGTGGGTGGGAGGAGTGGCATTTCGACGATCGAAGTCGGCAGTGGCTCTTATGACGACGAGAAAGTGGACGCCGGTCGCGGGACGTCTTTTTTGTTCGTTTGCGCGCAAAGATCGGCGCGACTTGTTGCTCGAGTGCCAACAACCCGTGACGTGGGCCAAAAAGGGGTCCGCGGCGATCGTAAAGCGCGGGGAAACTCGCGCTATCAAGCGGCAAAAAAGAGCACACACGGGCCGTGTGCTGAACCGTCGACGAGAAACAGAGCGAACACTGACGCAACGCGCACTGTGTGTGTGTGTGTGGCGGAGAACCGTTGCAGTCGTACCAGTGGCCAGCGGTGGAGAAAGCGCGGGGTATCTTGTGGCTCATTTACAACGTGGCACAAGTCACGCGCGTTGACTGGAAGAATCGACTCGACCGTTACGATTGCGCCAGTTGGTCACTCTCCAGCCGTTTCGTTCGCGCAGTTGTTGTTCTATGTGCGCGCGCTGTCGTGGCGTTGTACGTCGTGTAGCCAGCGACTTTCTACGCACGCGGCGACCTCAACGAGATGGACAACACGCGAGCGGACAAACGTTCGTGAAGCAGTGTCCATTTCGATCTTGCAATTGATCTCGTGCACGTCGCTATTGCAGCAACAACGCGCGACTTGCAGCCGATGGTGTCACTGCTAGAGGCAACCGCGACAGGTCGAGTTCTTCGTGGAAACTTGTGCCGATACTTGTTGAGGTCTGTTGACGACCAAACGTCCCACCTCCAAACACCTCGTGGGCGGCTTGTTCGAACTGGTGCTGCTATGGCCCACACGGTCTGTGCCGTCGACCTCTGCGTGTATACAGTCACCCTCTCACACACACGCCGACACGTCTGCGTATCTCCGAAATGGAGTGCACACGTGTTTCCTATCAGTGAGCAGCGAACTACACACTTCTTGTTGACCTGCGCAAGGTGCGTCGTTCGCTCTAGATGACAGCACTGCGTGCAAGCGCAACTTCACCAGCAACGTGGGCCCGCGGCACATTTTTCAGCGGTGGTGTGTGTGGTGAGCAGACAGCGAGCAGTTCACTACGGGCTGCGCTCTTGCAACAGCTGACGGGTCGAGAGCCAAAAGATCCATTTCGTAAAGATCTTGTTGCTTCGCAGCAGTAGTCGTGTAGTAACGCAACCTGACAGCGACATGCGCCTTACGCAAGCGGTACAGTGCGTCTGTCGTACGTGTTGGTCCACTTTCGTGTCGTAACACGTCCTGCGTCCGTCGTGCACAAACTGACCATTCACAGCATCGGAGACAATCGGTAGATCGGATTTTGTGCTGACGCCACAGCAGTTTCTTCTTGGCATCAGCATTACTTATGACTACAGTGGTGCGACGATCTCGTCTGTCCGTAAGCCGCAATCCAGACGTGCTCCATTGTAACTTGAGACTTACGAGGCCGTTCTTCCGATGTTGTCTCCAACTGCAGCGATTTTTCTCCGTAGCAAAGCGTTTTGGACAGCGTTCTTAGCATACTGCTTCTTCGTTGACAGAGACCGCGATCGTCTTTCACATTGTGGAGCTGTAGGTCCTGCGCTGGGGATGTCAGGTCGATTCGATTGGCACAAGTGTGCAGCCGAGCACCGTCTCGAGGCCTTGTTCTCTGTGACACAGCCTCCTCTCTGTCCTGACCAACGTTTGCTTTGTTGTCCTGACCATTGTTGATGGTGGACAAAAGGCACGTGAACTGCTGCACGATGAAGTCTTGCAGCTCTTTTGTTCCCCACCATCATGCGCTATCTTCGCACGTAAAGCTCTCGACGTCTGCGCAAGAATTGCATGCGATGAATGCAACAGCCGTCCTGAAAACAACAGCTCTGGTCTTCACGGTTCATTCGTGTCATCCGGCTCTCAACAACTCGCGCTAGCGTAGAGACCGCACTACATCCGCTGCTGCGTTGTGCGTTTGCGAGCAAAGTCTGACAGCCAAAGATCCATCCACGAAGTCGGTGCGTCTTCACTGACTGACCCAGTGGCCAGTCGTAGAGGATCTAAGCTTCAGGCTGGAAAAAATGGCAGACGCGCGTTTGCTACACGCTAAGCAAATCACCTGCGCAAGTTTGCAACGTCTAACGTCAGTTGAGAGCAAGTGACCGAGGAACATGAAAAGCAGTCAATGAGGTACTCAGCTTCATCGGGTCAAAGGCGGTATGAACTGCTGCTGCTATCTCATTTGTTCCTGTTCCGTTGTGACAACCAGTCGCAACATGTTCGACATCACTACATATTCCACCTCGTTACGGTGTGTAAGCTCCACCCGCTAGACATTGGTGCTGAACGACGTCCGAGGCAAGACGTTGATCGTCTCTTTTCGACCCCTGTCGACATTTGACATGCCGGATGCAAGAGAGACGCGAACGAGTCGATCATAATGAAGCACACGTACGACGAGACAGGTCGAGAGAGACTGAACTGCCAGCTTCTTTGGCGCAAGGCAATATGTTGCCCGTCACGCGGTCGATGTCAAAGTAATGAGCGAGTGAGTTTTGCAGCACGGAGCTGTCTGTCGACCAAGAAAGAGCTACTGCTGCTGCTGCTGCTTTCAGTCTGCCACGACAAACGTATTCCTTCATCGACGTCGGCTTTCATCTCGTTATCTACAGGCTCTATCCATTGTTCGACAAGTCCGACGGCCATCCAATTTACCGACAAGCGCTTCTCTTCTTTTATCCTGGAAAAGCGCGAGCTCAATAGACATCCGACATCAATCTGGATAAGGCGAGAAGATATGCCACGACTGATGCTCAGGCCGAGGCACGAGACTGGAACAACATCGGAATGCCATACGTCCAACATCTCACCAACAAGCTTGCAGGTCAAGCCTTCATACTCGATAGAAACACTCAGGACGAAAGGTACTCGCACATGTGTCAGCTGTGGAAGCCAGCGGGACTTGCGCGTCTAAAATGCAGGAATCGCTTGACCCCAAAACCAGTCGATCCATATCCTTCACACGCGTCGCCATCCACGCGGTAGCAGCGCACTTCGACTGAGCTTCACCTGAAGCAAACTTGATCACGACTCGGTCACTTGTGCGGGTCGTAATACCAAGCTCTTCTTCGAGCTTGTAGGGTGCGAGGCTGGTGCTACAGCTTTGCGAAAGCAAACTCTATCCGTCTGCACAGAAGAATGTACGCAACGCGTGGCTCGGATACAGCAGCTCGCACTGCATCGACATCGAGTGTACCACGTGCGAGATTATCATACAGGATGATACCGTCCAACGGGTCAAAGATAGCAGGAAATGACCGACCGCTTGACGCTATTCAGCAGCAGCCCATCGTTCGCGCGTGATAGCTCAACCACAGGCAAATGACCTGCTCATCACGACCGGAAACGAGATCAGCCACATACAGCGAAGACTGGTCCCTCCTCGCTCGCGTCGTCGAAATCAGGTCCATGTCGTCATGGACTTCAGCCTTTGCCCGACATATACGCACAGTCGAGTACAACGTGTCTGCTTCATCGACTCGGTGCTGGACAGCTGACTTCATAAAGGCTGCTCCAGACGCTTCCAGGTCCACCAGTATCCTCTCCTGCACTTGATAGCGCTCACGCAGGTCGACACACAATCAAACATTGACCATGGCTCAAGCTTTGCATTCGCCACGTCGTCAAGTACCCCGACAACCAGCTTTTTCAGCTCTCTCAGACAATCAGCTCGTTCAGCTCTCTATGATCGATCAGGTTCACACGGGCTGTTGCGTCCGCACAACGAGACGCGCAGCACTTCGAGCTTGTTTCGGACATAGCCCAGCAGCTCGGGATTGTGCTCGACGAGCTGCTGGAACCGGTTGTACGTGATGCCAGTGCCATCCTGAGCTTGGAGCACTGTCGCTTCATGCAATGTGGCGTTGACACTGGCTTCCGAAATGCCATAGAAACTGCGTTGAAAGCGCAGCATTTGCCGGAGTTCACCTGCATCAATGATCCCATTGTTGTCGAGGTCGTAGAGTCGGAACGTAAACTTGGCCAGCGCGTCGTTCTCTTCGTCGACGCTTCGCGGATTGACGGCCCGCAAGGCGAGACAGAGCTCACGAAAGTCAATGAGGCCGCTGTCATCGGCGTCCACGAGGTCAAAGAGCTGGTCAACAATCACTGGATCGTCTTTCGGAAACAGAGCCCGCAGCTCCTTCATGGACAGCTGACCGTCCTTGTCCAAATCCCGCTGACGAATGTACGCAACAAGGCGCTCGACGTTGCCACATTTCAGTGCCGAGAGAGACGTGACGTCTCCGACGTCTGCCAGCGGTGCAATGTGCTTACTTGCATAGTCACCGAGACGCATCAACATGGCCATGTCCTCGAACGCATGGTTGGTCGTTGACACGCCCAATGCTTTGGCCATCACTTCTCGAACGTTGTTCGCATAGAGCTGCGGGTTGTTCTGTTCCTGCTCCGAGGGGTAATACGCCGGCAAGATCTCCACTTCCATCCGGTTGTACACTTGACAGAGCACGCGCAGTGCCAAGTACAGTCCCGAGATCCCGGGCGGCCAGCTCACGTCAAAGTGCTGGTACGGGTAGCGCAGCACCACAGGTTGGCACGGCAGCCCCGAGACGAAGGAGCCCAGTTTGAACTTGGTCAGCGCCTCTTGGTTCGACGTCGTGCCTTGCGGGAAGACCAGCAGCGGCGGCCTCGTCGCCTCGAGCACGTGGGCCGTGATGTCCTGCATGGCGCGTTTTCGTCCTTCGGCCGTGCCTCGATCAATGAGAATGGGCTCTGTCATCTGCACAACGCGGCCAAGGAGGGGCAGCTTGGCGACGTCGGCTTTCATGGCGATGCTGGGCGACAGCAGCGTGAAGAGGTAGAGCCCGTCGAAGAACGTCAGGTGGTTGCTCACGATCACACGCGGCATCCGATGTCGGTCAAAGTGGGGCGGGTACTTGACGGGGATCCAGTAGAACCCGACGATGAAGAGGACCAGGCGGAGCAAATACGGCGCGGGCGCGCCAAGCAGTCGTCGCCAGTATGGCAGTGGCATTGCTGTAGCCGTAGCAGCTGTAGCAGCAGTTGAATCAGCTCCCGTACCTGTACTTGCACGAGGCGTCAAGCGCGTGTAGCCACAGAGCGCGACGTGGCTCACGAGCACGAGCAACGCGCCCGTGCAGACGAGCAACAGTAGGCGGAGCAACGGCACGCCCAGGAGGCACACGAGCGTCATCTTGACGGCTTCGTACGTGTCAATGGGCGTCGTGTACGCAAACGGATTCGGCGGTGTCGACGCAGCAGTCGACGACGATGTGGACGCTGAGACGTAAGCGCCCGCGGCGTCCACAGCTTCAGGCGGTGCAGCGATAGAGATCGCAATGGGCGCCTCCATGTTGCGAGCAACGGGCGACTCGTGCGACCGGAGGGCCACGTACTCGGGACTGCGCGACGACGACGACGCGCGGAGGAGCGCAGTGGAGCTCATGGAGGTGAGTTGTTGGGCAGACTACTGATGCGGGTACAGGTGTGCTATAACTACTACTGCTGCTGCTGCTGCGACTGGTGCGACTGCTATTGGTACTGCTGCGAAACTCTGCGGGTTAGTTGTACGGGTTCAGCTAAATATAGGAAAGTGAGAGCGGGTTCGCGTCGTTTGACTAAAGTCTCCGATCGAAGCGTGTAATGAGGAGAGGGCAAAAGATGATGACGGTGACGGCGCAACGGACACAGATGGGTTTGTTGTGGCCGCGCATTGCGATTGGTGAGCTACGTGTGATGTTTGGTATGTTGATTGTGCAGGGTGTTATGCGGGCTGTGTGGTGTGGTAGTATTGCAAGAATCGATAGGTTTGGTAGGTGGGTTTTACAGCAGATTTCAAGGGTATAGAGCCTCGCAGGAGATTGTCGCATGCTTCAGCTCCGGCGTCGTCACTCGATGGCGACACTCACTTGTTCGTTTTCCGATGACGCGAGTGCGTCACGAAAAGAGCCAACAACCCAGCTCAGCAGTTGTGATACGGTACTCTATCTATCTATCTATCTATCTATCTATCTATCTATCTATCTATCTATCTATCCACACCCTTCGACGAAGGACATAAAGCAAGCTACTTGCTGTGTGGACAACTGTTGTATTTGCCCTAATGACGGTTGTAGGCATGTGGTTGTACGCTGAACGTGGGAATAAGGACGGCATCGACACACTCGTTCTGAAGGCAGATGCAGTCCAACACTCAGCAATGTGCGCTCGCTGCTGCAATGTCCACTTTACGTTCTGTCATTCACGTGTCCAGAGAAAAGCAAAGCACGATTGGCCACTCTGACTCTTTCGCGCGCTGGTTGGTCCGACGTCGGGACGAGGTTTTCTTTTCTGATTTGGCAGCGCGTGTCGTTACAACAAACGGCAAAGCTTAGCTTGCTTTCCACCGTCCCATAGTCGTATATGGCTATACAATGGTATCGTAGCATCCACGGCATTGAAGAAGCACACACGTAGAAAGATGTGGTCTTGAACGTCAGACGTTTTGGCCTGCAGCACAGCAGTAGCACACAAGGCCTCCTCTCCATCTTATCAAGATTCAGATCGGACATGCGCTTTGTACTGCGCAACAGTTAGGAGTCATTATGCAGTACAAAAGCGCATGTCAGGCCGTATACCGCTATTTCGCATCGACTGTCGTATGCCGCTATCTCACATGTACTATTTTCATAAGTTTTCACTTCGCTTCACATCGCCGCACTTTATTCCTCCGTAGTATACTACTTTTCTCTCTTGCATCCTCGCACCCCACACGTACAACAACCCTCACGACCAGAAACATCGACCACGACCCCTCGTCTCTCATTCGTCGTTAAAACAATCCACGACCAATCCCGTGCGTTTGTGTCCCCACCCTTTTCGTCGTCTCCCACTTGTATCCATCCACCCGTACCTCGTCACCATTGCGCGTGGGAGCTCTTCGTCAGTCAGTCAGTTAGTCAGTTAGTCAGTCAGACAGTCTATATTGTCAATTCTGTCCCATGGCTGCGTTCCAAATGACCATCTGCTGCATGGGCGCGGGCTACGTCGGCGGCCCGACCATGGCCGTCATCGCGGCCGCCTGTCCCGACATCAAAGTTGTGGTCGTCGACGTGTCCGAGACGCAGATCGCCAAGTGGAACGCGCCGGACGCGATCCCCATCTACGAGCCGGGCCTGAAAGAACTGGTCAACGCCCGCCGCAATCGGAACCTCTTCTTCTCCACTGACATTGACACGTACATCAACGAGGCAGCGATTATCTTTGTGTGTGTGAACACACCAACGAAAACCAGTGGCATTGGCGCCGGTCGAGCAGCAGATACCAAGAACTGCGAAGCCTGTGCGCGGAAAATCGCCGAAGTGGCTACAGAAGACAAGATCGTCGTGGAAAAGTCGACGGTGCCGGTCCGCACGTCCGAGAGCATCAAAGCTGTGCTGCAGGCGAACTCCAAAGGACTCCACTTTGAAGTGCTGTCGAACCCCGAGTTCTTGGCGGAAGGCACGGCCATTCGGGACTTGCAGCAGCCCAGTCGCATTCTAATCGGTGGAGCAGAGACAACGGCAGGTCATGCAGCAGTGCAGCAGCTCGTGAATGTCTATGCCCATTGGGTTCCGCGGGATCGCATCATCACGACCAACGTCTGGTCTTCTGAGCTCTCGAAGCTCGTGGCAAATGCCTTTTTAGCGCAGCGAATCTCGAGTATCAACTCTATCTCGGCTGTCTGTGAAGCTACCGGGGCGAATGTGCATGAAGTCGCACGAGCAGTGGGTGCAGACGACCGTATTGGCGCCAAGTTTCTGGACTCTTCAGTGGGCTTTGGAGGCTCGTGCTTCCAGAAAGATATTTTGAATCTTGTCTACCTGGCCGAGAGCTTTCACCTGCCTGAGGTGGCCGAGTACTGGCGACACGTCGTGACGATGAATGAGTATCAGAAGACGCGCTTTGCGACAACAATGATCCGTCGCATGTTTAATACGGTCACGAACAAGAAGATCTGTATCTTTGGATTCGCTTTCAAGAAAGACACTGGCGACGTGCGCGAGACGCCTGCTGCTACGATTGTCAAGTACTTACTGGAGGAAAGGGCCAATGTAACCGTGTACGATCCGCAGGTCAAGATCGACGACATGATGCACGAGCTCGAGTATCAAGGCGTGAATAGGGCCAACCACCCTCTGATCGACAAACTCCTCACCGTGTCGGCCGATCCATATGAAGCTGCCAAGAGCTCGCATGCTATTGCTGCACTCACGGAGTGGGACGAGTTCAAGACGCTGGATTATGCCACGATCTACGAGAGCATGACGAAGCCCGCCTTCTTTTTCGATGGCCGCAACATTTTGCCCCACGATGAGATTGCCAGCTTAGGGGCCAAAGTGTACGTCATTGGCCGCGCAGACGTGATCTCGGACGAACTGCACTTCTAGAGCAGCGTGTGTGTCGGACGCACGCGAGTGTTGTGTTCGCGCTCTTTGCAGCGTGACGAGTCCAACGGAGAGCGCCTGCGTGTACCCAACACAGGTCCGTGTCCAACATCGCACAATCGGCTTCAAGTAGTGTATATATGAGACATTTGGTCCTTTGGCGACAAAGCCAGGACGAGCAATGTTGACGTGACTACTGCCACCGACCGTCTGTGCGCTCAATCGTGTCACACGCAGCAGCAGCAGTAGGAGTAGTAGTAACCCTAATGGGCAGGTCGTGTTCGGAGCTCCTCGCAGGCGTCGGTCTCTTTCTCTTGAATGGCGTAGACTTGATCGCCGGAACCGCTCTGTGCGTCTACAGTCTCGACCTCTTCACGACGGGCCACACGCCCATGTATCTCTATGGTGCGTCGCTGCTTTTCTTCCCTCTCTCGCTCTCTCGCTCTGCTTCGTCTGCCAGTACCATGTGCAGTACACCCACGGTCTCATTTACTATACCCTTTCAGTCCCGCTGCTTGCAATTGGTAGCGTCCTCGTCATTGCGTCCGTCATGAGCAGCTGTGGATTGCTGTATCAAGAGTGCTCCGTCTGCATAGCGCTGTCGTCGAGCGTGCTCGGATGGGTCTCGTTGGCTGAGTTGGGACTCGCTGTCGTGATGTTGACGCAAGGCGGACGGGTCGACACGTTCTTACACGACCACAGCAATGAACTCGAGCTCAGGTCAGTGCAACGGATTGATTGGCTGTGAATATGTGGGCGACAAAGCGTGGGGTGGCTCTGACCTATCTTCGCTGGTGCATTGGTATGTCTAGTGGAGATGAGTTGGCACGATACGAGCGTCACAAGTTCTACCCGGCGTACGCGTTGCTATCGCTGGCGGTGATGGAAGCTCTGCGTCAACGCTATAGCACCACACTGCATCGCGCACGGCTTCGTCGCCAGCACCAGTACGAGATGCTGGCTTGAAGGTCTGTAGGTCCGTAGGTGCGCACAGTGAGTCCAGTGCTGCTCCGGTTGGACTTGTCACGATCCAATGGCCCACTAGCTCCTCGTCAAAGCTCATTTCTTGGTAACGCTAGCGATGAGCTCAAGGTTAGGAATGCTGGTTTTGTTTCGCGGAGAAGCAAAGAGCGTTGTTGGCTTGCTCACGCTGTCCACAGGTGTCTCCTCGATACAGTCCTGCAGTTACACGAGCCGATAGTCCATCAGTACTTTTCCATTGACACTTTGTCCATCATCCCTTTTCCATTGACAGGCTCTTGGCTCAAGTGCTTCCTCGAGTGAAGTCGGTAGTACTTCAACGCGTTAGCTGGTACAAACAGCTACACTGCAAGCACCATCTTTCACACAGGGCACATGCATTTTCGTTCGTACATTGTAGTACTCGCACACAATAGTACTATTGCAGATACTCTACTATTTTTATCACATAGGCAAGACCTGATTTAGAGATCTCCTAGTTTCTAGCATACTGTTCGAACACTTCGCCTCATTTTTGGTCATGGCGCCACGTGCCCCAGCAGTCGACGCGCCGTCCGAAGCTCTGGCGCTGCCCGCGTGGACGCGGTTCCTCGCCCCGTACTACGTGTGTAACGTTATGACGCTGCTGATGTATTTACCCATTCGGTACCAGCGATCGAGCGAAGCGCTCATGGAGCGAGACAATATGTTCCAGATACCGCTGGTATGTACGAGTGTGTGCTTATTTCAGTACATGGTTGAATAATCTTGGCATATTTTGTGACCCTTTTGTAATCCTCTACATAGGAATATGAGATCTTTATGCTCGCGTTGGCTTCGTGGCTGCTGAACTTTCGCAAGAAAGCGACAGCAGACGGTGTGCTGTCGCTCTTTTTCCTGTACGGCAAACTTGCTGTCTTGGCGTCGCTCTACTATCTCGATCTGACCCTTTTTGGGTGGTACGCAGTCGTTTGTCTCGGTGGGTTTGTGCCGTGTGCAAAATCGACTCGAAATAGTGATACCTCGGAGATGTCATATCGTATCACTGATGCGTGTTGTGGTTGTGTGTAGTACTGTTTGCCGCATTGGGGCAGCCCAAGTACCAGGGTCCGTCCAAGATATCTGAGCTGGACCCAGCGACGATGGAGAAAGTGGTGAAAAAGACGTCCAGTGCAAAGAAGAAAGGCCCGGTGCACTCGTGGCTCGTCTTTTTTTACGCCGATTGGAGTGACGCTTGTGTCGAGCACGAGTCCATGCTCGCGGACTTGTCACTCAGGTGCGTCATGCGCTGTATAATTTATCGGCAGTGTGTGAGTCCAAGACTGGAGAATCGTGACATGACGATGATACGGTGTTTTGATTGCAAATGCTGTGGAGCAGGTACACGTCCGAGTCGCTGCAGTTTGGCAAGATTGATGTGAACAAATGGTCCGATCTGGCTGTGGAAAATCGCATCAATGTGTCGACGTCGTCGAGGCAGCTACCGACGTTCATTTTGTTCCAAAATGGCAAAGAAGTTATGCGTTCGCCGCAGATCACGGACGCAGGAAAAGTCATCAAAGCTGTTCTTGATCAGGTACGAGAGCCTGCTGTGCTGCTTGAAGTGCATGGTAGTTGCTAACCTTTGGTTGATGACGTACTCGTACTTGTTGTGCGATCGAAATACTTGCAGGCGGGACTCGTTGCTGCGTTTAAGCTCCAGGAGCTGAAGGAGGAGAAAGCAGTCGTGTTTGAGGCAAAGAAAACTACATAGCTCGGACGTGTAGGCGTGGGGTCTGCTGAACGGCAAGCGAGAAAGGGGGTTAACTCAGAATTGTGAGTTTACACGAATTGTGTTTGGTATGCTTGTATGTGAGCAACTCTCGAGCTTAACATGGGAGGTTCCTCTTAGGACGGTATGCAAGTAGTATGTTTCGATACCGACGAATGAAGGTCTGTAACGATGCGTCGAAGAGTGAACTTGCCAGTTCATGAGAAGTGCTTCAGCAAAATGGACGATAACTTGACCGCGCCGTGAAGACGTCGATGTATAGGAGCCGGAAAATCCAAGATGCGAGTCGAAGCTGCAACTGAGCCGACTTGCAGACGTTTACAGGATTACCGCACCCGTGCTGTGCGAGTCAGCGTCAGTGCGTTTGAGCTGACACTTTCCCGGCACTTTCCCGTGCATGACTTGCAGCCATTCTTTTGACTTGCCGGCAAACTACCAGCGACGCTCTCTACGTATTCGTGTAGCCAAATGGTCGATCCCCATGGACACCGGATTGCACGAGAATGCGCTTCGACACACACAAGGCAAGTGACACACCGGCATCCTGTTGACAGCTGCAGCCTAAGGTCACATGTATCCCCGTACTCGCTTGTCTCATTTCTTTCTGCAGCAGGGAATGTTACAACGCAGCACTGGCCACCGCTAGCATCTCTATGACTTGACTGCATCGCTCACTTTGTTTAACTTGACATGCCACTTGCCGCAGACCACCCCCTCAATTATCTGGAAAAGCGCTGACAAAAACAAAGATTTGTCCACCTGCTACGCCAACAAACGCTTTTCCATTTGTCTGCGGATACGCACGACAATCAGCTCCATGACTGTGACCAATACCGTAGTACGCTTAACAGTTATGCATTCGAGACGCTTAGAAGAAGACAAACCAACGACTTCAAGTTGAAGTTGTACGCTGATGTAGCCATGTGAACAAAGCTGTAATGGACCATTTATTCTGTCCGTTCCGATTTTACGTCGTTCGTCACCTGAGACTTTCCAAAGATTTGTTGCAAAAAGATCATAGAGAACAACACATTCCTTCCACGACATGTGCGGCGATGGGCTCTGTTACGAACGCTTTACGGGCAGCGCGCTCTTTGTGTTCAATGGCGTGGACCTCATCTGCGGTATCGCGCTCACCGTCTACAGTCTGTTCATCGGTACGAGAAAAAAGCTCTTACAATTGTGTATCCTGAATCAACAATTTGGGTTCCACGATATCACACTCCTAAGACGTTTTGATGTACGTTACGTTGTAGGCCTGAACCATTACGCGCCAGAGTGGCTCTATGTGCCTCTTTTAGCCGTCGGCGCTTTGCTGGTCCTGACGACGTGCATGAGCTGGTGTGGCGCGTCGTCCAGTCGGAGCTGCGCCATGTGTCTCCCGTGCTCGTCGTATCTGTTGATTCTGTTGGCTGTGGCGGAACTGGCACTTGGCGTAGTGATTTTCACCCAAGGATCGACGATTGACCGATTCCTGCGTCAACATCAGCAAGAGCTTCAGATCACGTGCGTGGAATGGTTCAGTGACGTTCAGAGAGTTGGTATAGCTTTCGGAGATGACGTTTTTCGCTGATTCGACTGTGCTGTTGTTGGTGTGATATGTTGCAGCGATGAACAGCTGCTACCGGCTCGAAAAGAACAAGTTCATTCCTGCTTATGGCATGCTGGCACTCTTTGTCATGGAAGTGCTGCGGTTTTGCTGCAGTAGTGAATTGTATCGGGCACGACGGTACCGGAAATACCAGTACCGACAACTCAACACGTTGCGGGGTCTGGACGATGAGCTGCTGGCAGCCAGGAACGAAGAGGTAGCGTGTGAGGGGATGGTATGATGCGTTGGTTGAGCTGTGGTGTTTACTTTTGCGGTTGTGTGAAGGCCATTCTGAGCAAATTTGCATTGCTCAAGGACAAGTACAGGAAAAAGTATGTCGCTCCCCAAGATGTATCTGCGACAACGGACAATGCTACAGTCGAAGTGTGACACAGTTGGTGCGGTTCGAGAACAACCAACTCGATATCTGCTGCACGTTGCGGTCCCCGAGCAAGTTGTAGCGATGCGCCTTGGTCACCGTCAGGAGCCAGACACGAAATCAGTCATGCTAGGGATGACAGCTGATGAACTTCGTTGAGCTTCTGCTCATTCGTACTGTTCTTTGACGCTGATTGTCACGTAAATAAACGCACGTTCATGTTTCGAGCTTGTCCGCATCACGAATGTACCGGCAAACATGTACAAGAGCTGTCTCTGCTTGACACATTCATTGCTAGCGAGATGTAGGCACGTTGCGTTGTCGACGGAAAGAGATGCACTTCGATCTATGTTACAACTGTACTCGATGATTGCTCGACGTATCAGCCATCCGATACTATGATCGACCATTGCGATACGGTTCTACATCTGCGATGTTTTTCGGGGTGTAAGGTACTTCAGTATCTCCATTCGTAGCTCAACATACGTTTGCAAGAACTAGTCATCGATATCCACGCAGCCCGGTCTCATCACAGTGCTTTGCGTACGAGCATCGTCCATTGAAAGCGTCGTGCAGGACTACGCTGGACGATTATGCACTTTCGATCCCCATCTTTACCAATCGGACTATACCATGTCGTCGCAATGCTTCGTGGCGTTGGATCTACGATACTGAGCTCGCTGGTATTACCCGACATCCGACTCTTCGTGCCGCTCCTGCACATATTACATCAAACTGTTTTGCTCACATCGATGAACAGGAGTCGATAACAACATTTAGACGAAACACAACTAGTACACGCTGCCTTGTTGAGCAGCGATATGGATGCTAAGGACTTACTTGACGTCGCATCACTATTGTGAGCTTTCAGCCGATCCGCATGGTTGAAGTTGTAGTATAATAGCTGGTTCGCCTAGCATCTGGATCGCCACGACTATCACTCCAATTGGTGGCTCAGCTCCATCCAATTTCGTGCTGTCGAACAAGAATGGGGTCACTGGGTAGAGAAGTCATCCGACTCTGCTTTTGCGAGCGTTCTCGGGTTGTGGATCCTACGATTACCACATCGAAACCCGGTAGCTGTTTGAATGCGCTACCTTCTTCGGCATCACGACCCTCTTCAGTAAGATCCGCTGTATCGAATGCCACTGACCCTACCTGGTCGGTACGCCGGTCTGCTTTGCACAGGAGTACTACGCGATCAGTGGATCCCCAATTCTTTAGCGGATCCACTGATCACGCGCAAGATCGGATCCCTCAACCATTTGCCCGTGTCGCCAAGTGGTCAGCCCGACGAGTTATCTTGACGAGCGTTGCCGAGATGGACGTGGAGTTCTTTTCTATCGACCGATGCGATCTTGTGCCGTATGAATGGCGAAAGTCAGGATTTACATCTTTTTGCGTACGTCTGCCGGTCTTTATATCCACATCCGTGACATAGTTGTCAATGCCCGCGTCAGAGCCTGCACCACACGCTTTGCCGTTCCGTTCGCTTGAGGTCTCTATGCTATCGATGCACTACTTCTGCCCTTCGACCCGATACAAACGCGAACATACATCCGACATGAGTTATTGTTGTTGAAGGTGATGTATATTGAGGAACGTTATCGACCAACAATACCCGTGATCAGACATGAGTTACATCGTGGTCACGACTTACTTCGATGACTCGCAACGGTTGTTCGGTCTTCAAATCGGTATCACTTAGCCGTTTGATCCGAATGGTTTAATTCACTGAACAAAGATGCTGCCTCGCGCGATGGTCCCAATGCAATGGCCCTACAATTTTGATCAAAACGATCAAGAGAACTTCCTGTACATTAGGAATGACTGAGGGATGCAATGCGCGTGACTAGATGACAGGTGATGCAGAAACGAAGAGCAACAGGAGCTACAGGAGATATCCCCATCGACATCATTGCCTACAATCAGCCGCTTTTGACACTCACGACCCCAAGCACCCTACATCAACACCCTCACAAAGTTCACGCCAGCATCAGAAAACTCTATTACGTTCGTGAGAAAGCGCGCAGCTCCTACGCAACGCCTTACTTGCAGCAATCAGCCTTCCCACACTGCAGCTTCAGCGCACCAAGTGATCTCCCGCAAAGTTCCACCCAGCCAACACCCTGATCTTAGTCGTCCAGCCAGCCGAGCAAGTCGCCACACGTATTTCGCACGCAATCAGTCAATGCACTCAATCACGCACCCGACCAAACCCACGTTGGGTTGCTGCAGCCATTTCCACGCACAACCACAGCCAAGCACAGTCCTGCGTCAACCGCGACCATCTCCAAAGACACTTTGCCACAGGAGACCTCGTCTTTTCCTGCTCTAGCCGCAGCCCCGCTGTTTCTCCCTCTTGACCGTCCTCTTCTTGGCCTTGTCCTTCCTCGCCTTGTCCTTTGCCAGCAGCTCCTTCTCGTACTTGACCTTCTTGTCGTGCTCCGTCTTCATCTTCTCCCGCACGGCCTGTTGCGCCTGCTGCACGCGGTGTTTGTTCGTGTTGCCCGGGCCCACGTCCTCGACGCTCTTGTCCTTGTCTTTGATTTTGACCACATTGCCGTCTTCGTCAAATTCAAACATCAGCGTGAAGCCGTATTCACTGATCAGGTGCTCTCTCGCTGCGAGTTCTTGACGGGTCATGTGCTTGAGACGCTCAGTCATCTTCTCGTGCGCCCGCGCTGCTGCCTCTTCCGTCTCCATGAGCTGTTGCTCCCGTATCTCGAGGTCCTTGAGCTTCTTGGCGGCGACCTCCAGTGCTTCTTCCATTTTTGACTGCTCGACTTGGCCCTGCAGCATATTTTTGACATCGAGCGTCATTGTTGACGCGTCCAAGAGTCCGTCGACCACATCGGACGCGACGAGGCCGTCGGCAGCGCTACGAAACACTGAGATGACGGTCTCGACACGCTCGGAGATGTCAAAATCTTCATCCTGCAGCAGACTCAGCGCGTACTCGACGTACACGGACGCATCGAGGTGCAGGCTCGCGACTTTGTCGGTCACCCACGCTTCCATGAGCGTTTTTGACGCTGACAGTGTCGATAACGTCAGGACGAGGGACTGATTGGCTATAAAGTGGCCGAGCACAGCCGACGTGATTTCTAGCTTAGAAACGAGTACACCGTACCCTCGTTCCAAACGTCTGCGTCGAAGCGTACCCCGTCTGCTACTGCTGCTGATACCGACTCGAAGATGACGAGAAAAATGCAGCGATGCAAGCGCAGCTCTGCTTTGGCTGCGGTGCAGTCCACGGAAGCAGCGCCTCATACAAAGTCCAAGATAAAAAGCCGTTTGCGAGTTCGTAGTATGTGACCATGTCGGCACTTCATCGCACAAAAGTATCTGGTTACCACTTGTGATCAACCTGTCTGCGTATACTTGTCGTCTGTCTGACCGGAAGGCTCTTTTGTGTGCTCACCTGTCCATCAAGCGCCTCAATGACCCCATCTGGCGGATACTGATGACGATGATGTCGATGAAAGTGTGGCTGTTGTCACACCAGTCCCTCCCTCAAGTCCACCTTTGCCCACAACGACGACCGTCATGGCCATCATCACGTTAGCTATCACTGCGACAAGCGGAACCGTTTCGTGCAGGATGCGCTGCGAATTGCATGTTGACCGGAGCTACTGGCGCTGCTCAATATTCGGCGCAACGTCTTTACGCATTCGATACGAAAGGTGCGACCTCTCGGTCGTGTTTCGCATCGATTGTCCACTCAACACACTACCCGATCGATCGCTGCAAGAGGCAGTCAGTCCCACGTGTGAGCAACGGCTTCGACTGCCAAAGCTGTCAAGTGGTGCGGCGTCTGGATTGTTTTCCCCATCACGTCCCAACGCAGTGGACGCAGTGGGCCCTCACAATAGCAGCTGCTGTCTACAGCCCAACCACGTGCGAGAAAAAACCGCTGGATAACCAAACGCAGGCGCGCACGATCGCCGAAGTCTCTACAGCCCGCCGCTCGACCGCACGTCAGCAGCCTTTCTACACGCATTGTCTCGCGTGAAGAAAAGATCGATCCGCCCGCCAGCAGCTCACGCAGTCGACTGGACATCCATCCACCTTCAGACAGCTCCACACGGCAACGACATCACACACTACCGCCACCACCACCAGTAGATCCAGAACTACTCGCTGAGGGCGTTTGAGTCAGCACGTGCATCACGTTTCGATGAGCCTCGATCGACTACGTACGTATAGTGTGTGCACAATGTATACTGTGTATAGATACAATTGGATGTATGTGTACGACGACGACGACGACTACGATTACGACCATAAGTCAACTACGACAAGTTTTTCTCCTTCATACAATCTTCAAGTGGAGACATTCATACCAGCTGCGGCGAGCCGCCGGATCTGCTGGCGCCCGCTTCGTGCGTGCGTGCGACGACGTGTCTCATGCCACGAAGCAGTGGCGCTCGAGCACTTTGCGATACCGAAGCGCCTTCTTGGCCAAGAGCACGTTGCTCTGCGACGAGCTCGACGACGAGTCGGCGGCGGCCAGCGCCACGAGGCTATTGAGTTTGCTCTGGTACTTTTGGCACTTGGTGTCCTGGAACACGACGCCCTTTGCCGTGCAGATGAACGTCTCGGACTTGGACCGCTGCTCGAGCGCAGCCGCCCGCCGCCCGCTCAACATCAGGGGCAGGTACGACCTGTCCACGTGCTGCTGCTGCTGCTGCTGCACGGCCTGCGACAGCGTCAACGTCGGCTCGTGGTCGATCGCTTTCGGTACAAAGGACGAACACGGGCGACGACTGCTCTCGGAATAGGAGCAGCGTCGACGGGAGGGGTACGACATGGTCGCACTTAGTGGGAACTCTCGTTTGCGCGTGTGTGCTGTGGCAAGTAGGGAGCAAATCTCCAAGTGAAGAAAACATGGGCGTCACGTCCGTCGTTGTTGTTGTTGTTGTTGTCGCTGCGGTGGATTGACGCATAGTGAAGGCGAGTGAGCTGCGCGCGCGCCTCGCTGGCTGAGTTACGGGAAGAAAGGCGGGCGCTGGAGTAGTTCGTGCATGGTACCAGACTTTTTTTTCAAAAAAATAAATGAGGTGGCTACTTTTGCAGGCGATCTAATAACTTACGCGAGAAGTGAGACAATACAAAGTTGTTATGGGCAGCGCGTCGCAGATCGGACGCAAGCAAAACGAAGCCTGGCTATCGGGCGGTAGGGTCGGAGCTAGTACCGTGGTCCGGTCCTCCGCGTGAGTGGCCTCGAGACCAACAGGGAGGGCATCCACCATTGCCCTATCGCGCGTCGTAGGATGTGCACATGACGTTCAGCATGGCGCATCGTGCATGTCGTCGGTATGCATTGGGTGGGAAGCTGTCCTAAGTTGTACACACGCTGTCTTCGTGTGCTGCCTGCCGCAACTTTGTTGCAGAGACGACGCGGGCATAGTCTCAGGTAGAACGTCCAAGCAGTCGGAATGCTCGGTGCACTACTGTCGGATCCTACGCTGTGTCTTGATTGCGATAGAAAGACGTGCCGTGCTCTTTCTGATCCTGGAATCTTTTCTTGCCAGCAGCAACCGGCCAGGCGGCCGCCTGAAATCCCAACGCTCGTCAGTTACAATTGGCGGCATCGTTGCAAGAAGCCGAGAGCGTAGGAGGTCGACTGTAAAGTGAAAAAAAACCATACCGAGCAACAAATGAGGACAAACGCGCCTACCCCCAGGCTCGATGTAGGCCAAGAATAGTCGGCCACGACTGTAACTTGTACGCGAACGTTGCAACACCCCGTTGGTGTAAAGCTCTGCCCAACCGGCAGGGAGTCAATGATGCGACATAGAGATCGATCGCTTAGCGATGGACATTGGCTAGAGCAGCTGCGATACGAGATAGCTTTCTCGCCCATGTATTGCTGGCCGGATCGGCTTAGCTGATCCATCGCGTGCTCGCAACGTGGGCAAGATCGGACGTTCATCCTCTCAGAAACGTATGCAGGTCATTGAAGTCTTGGAGGGAAGCATCAGCACAAAGCATCTGGTCATACCGTGGTTCATTGAGGTCCATCCACAGCGTCCCGATCAGTGGCGTCCAACCACTGCCACCGCGTATGTATGATTTAGTCATCGGATCTTCCGCCTGCCAAGAAGAACTATTGCAATCTTCAACGCCGCGTCGCATCTCTCCGCGTAGCCGACCATGTCAGTTACACTGGTCGGATCGCCCTCGTTCGCGAACCGGTACAAAGACACGGTCGCGATCACCGCAACCGCCCTTTGAGTAAGATCTTTGGCATTGATTCCATTTCTGTCCGCGTGTCTGCTCCTCGAGAGCCGCTGCAAAGTCTCGTCTATCGCTTGGTACAACCACTTTCTGTTTCTCAGTGCAAATCGCGGTCAGGTGTCTTAACGACTTGCGTAGCTCGGACTCTCGCCACGTAGCTCGAGTGCACGGCTTCGATCAGTAATGGACCATAGCACTCACCGAGTCAAAGACAACGTCAGTCGACCTGCCAGTACATAGCATGACTTTCTCTACATTCTACCGCTTGATCTTGTTACGAGGTCGGCACCACCTTTCGCCATCCATTTGTCTCGTAATCGCATCTCGACCCTACTTACGGGGCCTATTGTTCGTCGCGATTCAGTTGCTCCAGGACCGCCAAGACACGACAGGCAGACTCGAGGTTACAGGCAATCAACGGCTGCTACAGGAGGCTCGTCGAAACCCCTTCTAACTTATCGCCAGTCGATTTGCACTTCACGATGCAGTAGCTCGTGGGTTTCTTTACCGTATCATTATATGTAAACGCATCTTCTTCAGCTCGCCGTGCATCAAGACCGACTGCAATTATCATTACCATCGGCTTGAGAGAATTTTCGTTCGACCTTTTGCATCATGCGACGAGGTGCAACGATCGACATCGCGACGACAGCGTCGACCACGTTTCGAACAACAGCTCTTGACGCGTGATCCCCCACCCTTTTGCATGCAAACGTCCACTGCAGCGTGCCACATCCAGAGAAAACTGTACCGAATCGAGTAAAAACCGAGTGTAAGCATCAACCCCATTGCCTATCAGACAGTTTCTTTCACAACGATCACTGTAGTCCTGCAGAAACTCGCGTCTCCTCTTCTCGACATACACTCTACTTCTTCTATCAACTGCCCCTCTTCGTGCACGCTAGTGTACCTGCATCGAGACGTCCGCGGTATCTTTACCCTCCACGTCGCTGCTGTTTCCTTGCGTCTGCGCTGCGTGGCTCTTCGTCTGTTTTCTGCTCCGATCCGCCGTCTCGTTCCATCCATGTCGCAGTAACATCCTCCTCGTGTTTCCTCCCTCGGGCTCGTCTTCCACTGTACAGAAAACGACCACACGCAACGCACGTACGACCCTATTCGCCGACCCTGTGGGCAGCGCAGACTACTCGTACCCGACGCTCCTCTGCCTCTGCTCGAGATTGCGTACGCTCTGACCAACACGTGCGTCAGTACCGCGACTGTGTGTGTCTGTGTGTGTGGTCATTACGATCGGAGGCCATCGGTCATATCGCTGGCGTGCAAGGGCGTGCCTTGCGTTGGCCCTTGGCGGATGCGCAGCAGACGGGACCGAAGAACACAACAATCGTCTGCGCGGAACACCCCCACCCCCACCCCACCCCTCGTCCAAACGGCCGACCATGTCCGACGGCGACAGACGACAGGGACCGTCTGTCCTTTCGACCGAACGTCCCGACTGACAAAGGCCACGTTTCCTTCAACTTCAACACGAGACAACCAATGGACTGTAATGCGCGAACGCGGCCGCGTGAACAAACGCACACAACGACAGACAACGAACTGCTGCGCTGGTCGAACGTCGGACGCCAACCGTCCGACGCCCTATAGAGCGTCGAAGAGCCACTTCGTCCGCTTTCGGTCCGGGAGCGCAAACATTCGCTGAGAATATGGCCTTTGCCAGCGTTGCTGGCGTATCGCTCTACGTAGTAGTAACGCAACCGTTTGGTACGAGTTCCAGTGAGATATAGTACGCTGCCAGGCTAATGTTACGTAAGCCTTCACCACGACGGCTAGCGGAGCATGATTTGTATAGTGGCTCGAGCTCGCCCCAGAAGCTGTGGGAAGGTCTTCCGCCCTTGCTTGACAGAACGTCGCTGAGCACACCTCCGGCGTGTGATTGACCGTTTTTTACAACACGATGCGGCTTTCTGCAAGGGCTGATGGTGAACTGTACTCGTCAAGCACAGGCTGCGGGGAAGACACAGACGTCGCTCGAGATTCAGTGTGTCTGCAGACCTCGATTCAGCTGCAGCAGCCAATGAAGGGCCGTGCAAGCAGATGTGATACCAACGCATCGCGAGGTATCGATCCACTTGACCAGGCACAGTGGTCGGCGGGCGGTACATTGACTACAGAAACGCGCGACAGGTGATGCAGTCGGTGGTCTGTACCGAGCGGTCTCGCCCTGTGGCCCGTCAATACGTGACGATCCCATCACTTCGATCTGACGCTCGCAGTTGGACTTTGCGTTCGTCTGTAGTCGAAGCCGCACCAAGTGCGACGGGACAGTTTGTGTGTGTGTGTTTGTGGTGATAGGACAGGTACACAACAAATCGAACCTGTGGGCAGACCACCTGCACGGTGCTGGATCGATGCACGGGTAGATGGAGAACTTTGCGCTAGTAATCCACAATGGCAGCTTCGTCGGTGTTCGGCTGATTCGCCGAACACCAATGAACTCGCCCGTTATTCGGAAACCATGACCGACCGGTCGCGGAGGTGACAGTGGTAATGAGCGCACTGCCCACACGTTGTCTGATTTGTGAGAACGAGACGAGGCCTTTTGACTCAGTCACCACACACGTAGCTCGTAAACGGACGGTCCTTGTCTTCACGGCTGCCAGCTGTAGTGGACTTCGACGCACGATGCCATGTGTGCGCTGTTGTCGGGCCAGACGCTATCGCGCGACTCGATGCGCGCCGTGTCGGGAGCTGAACGCAGGCAATGGCCATACAATGCAACGAACAGGGCAAACGTTGACCGGTATGCGATGCTCTCTGATCGAAGCGAGTGCGTCTGTACGTGGAATAGCGTACGAGAGCGACATACAAAGACGATACGTCAAGACGGGAGACGCGATAGCGGCAAAGTGCATCGATCTTGTTCGAGAGGTACAGACCGGTAGATCGTCCAAGAAAGTGTGGGGGCAAGATGAGGGTCTTGCGCTGGCAGCCGTCACTGATAGCACTTGTAAACTCTGCGAGCTGCATATCCGTCGCTTGGGTTCGATCAAAAACGGCGCCTAAGCCTGTACCATGTATGTCCTTGCCATGTAAGGACACACCTGCAAACACCACATTGCCTTTCGCGAGTAAAGAGTTTGGATCAGCGATCGGTATCTGCATAGGATTGTTACAAGAATAGATCCGCGTAAATGAGCTCTCCGCCTCGCCGATGTGCTGCCCGTTTGCTCATCCACAACTCACGTCATTGGGAGCGCTAGCAAACTTCTTGTCAACATCCTGATCGGTACCATGTCATCGAAGCATAGACAAGCTCATTTTCACGTGTTAACGTGCCGTACTTGACGTCGAGATTGCTGTCTAGTCTTGTTGGGAACGAGCGCCGTCCACGCCGTGTTGCCAAAGATACCACTGACTCAAGCTGTCATCAATGCTCGCCGCTGAAATCGACTTGTCGATCTCTGATTGTGATGTGTGCACTGCTGCGTAAACTCTTGTTGGACATTTGAGTCTGCTGCATCTGATGGGTACGTCGAGTAGTACAACGTTTAGTCTGTCGAAATGGGTCCTCGAGCACCTTCGTGCATCCGTTTTCGCCACCGCTGCGGT